CTCTTCGTTCTTTCGTGCGGATCACCCGCCTCCGCACCTCGCTACTGGAATCTACGACAGGCAGGGAATGCGAGAAGAGGAGGATTCTGGTCGAAAAAGCACGGACGCAGGAGCCCAGTCAGTGGAATTAGCAAGAGAGCAGTCCATTCATCGAAATCCTGAAGGTAGGGCTGCGCCTCCAGTCGCATCCAAGACCTGGAGGAGCTTCTCCGTCGCCAATTTGGGTGGCAGGCGCCTACAAGACAAGTCTAAGTGCTTTTCTCTTCTTTCTCTTCCAACCTTAAATAAACTGTCTGTCGCTTTGACAACTCGTCTCAACTCTCCCACAATCTTTATCTGAGCAGGTCAGATAGCTGCTCTTCTGACCCTGGGAACAGAGATCCTCGACTTCGCAAACAGAAGGATCTGGAACACGGCACCCAACTCCCATGGCCTCAGCATGATTGCTGTACGCTCATCTGAAAAATCTGAAACTTGTTCTGGCGCCATGGGCACCTGTGCACAAACGAAGCCGCGGAGTCTGACTGTGTGCTTCGTTCGGGCCCTGATCTTGGAAAGGAAAAACTTCGAGGGATTCCAGGGTGGTATAATATTGAGAAGCCCGCGCCTTCTGGCCGTTCGAATGAACACCTCACCCGCTTTGCCCAGAAGGCGCACCAAGCGACAGATAGCCGGGATGGCGAAACTCACAACTCAATCAGGTGTGTAAGACCGTGAATCCAGAGTTGCTTGTGAACACTCTGAGGCTGTCTGCATCATGATACCACCACTCGAGCCAGTTCACACTGCAGAAACGATCTTTGGTCGAGGATGCAATTTGCGGCCATGAGACGGGCGTCAGTGTGACAGAACAGAACCTTCAACTTTGTGAATGCAGCAACGTTTCCATGTGACCTGTCAAAGCTCGACAGCCGCGTTGCTCAAGGGGCTTTGTGCTCCTCCCACAACAACATGTGAACCTGTGACTCGTCGTATATCAGGCTGTCTGGATGCAAGCGTGACTTTCAACGTGCGTGCGAAAGCCCAAAAAGGGGAGCATTTTGTGTGGCCTCCCTTGCGTGTTGCTGAGGCGCCGAGATGAGTTTTCCAATACGCCAGTGCACTGTGGTGAGAAAGTTGAGGTAGCTACGAGTATAAAGCTTGTAGGAGCCCGATCGCTCTACGATCCCCGGCTTTCCGACACAGGCGTAGCCGGGTAGCTGCGGGAAGGTTCCAGGAAGCTCCTGACTGTTGAAATCGAGGTGCGCACGCGCGCGCAGGGAGCGCGTTCGGCTGCTGCAGGCTGCGAGGCTGCAAAGACCGGCAGCTTTTTGCACTGTGCAACAGCCGTCGCTACAACCTCCACTGAGTTCAGTAGGGATCCGCTAATGTTCACCAAAGTCACCAAATACTGCTCTCGTCAGCAGTGGCGCCGAGCCGGGCAGCGATGTGGCACGGGTCGCTGTCAGCGACTGACAACACTCAGGATTCCCAGATCTTGGGGCTCTGAAGTGAGGCACGAAGACGCGGGCAACTGGGACTGGGATCTCGGAATCTGCTTGGTGCCGCCAGCCTTCTGACCCTGCTCTTTACTGACCCTGCTCTTTAATTCGTGCAGTGCTGACCGGTTTGATCAGCTGGCCAAATGAACTTCGTCACTGTACACATGGCGCATGACATTAGAGCATTGGCATACCTAGTCATGATCATCATCCTGATACCGATGATGTGGAGGAAGAGGAGAAAGTGGCTGGTCATGCTGATGGCACAGGGCACAGGTGAAACTCTGCTGCTGCTGATGATGATGATGGTCGTAGTGGTACTTGTAGTGATAGTGACTATTCTTCTGACAATTCTGGTTCTGCTGACTACACCGACGGGGAAGATACGGCAGATCCTGATACGGATCTTGATCATGAATGTGAAGATACCGGTGATAGTGATGATACCGATGGATGATGATGTTACCGTTACTGACGATGCAGCACTGACGATGATGATGATGGTGCATCATGATGATGATAGTGGTTCTCAATCCTACATGCCTCACGTTAAGCTTACTACCCCAATGCTCAAGACTAATTCATGGCAAAACTGCAGGCCTTCCAGCATCTGTACGTAAACCCAGGCTTCTGCCAGGCACATGAAGGCCACGCTTCGCGTGGAAGAAAGCCGCGAGCAGCAAATTCCCAAGCCCAACCACGTAATCCCACAGCTACCATCCGACCCGACTCCCTGAGATCTGCCTGTGGAGGCCAGGGCGCTTTGCGGCTTCGTGGCAATCAGAGCCGGAAAGGTCCTACACTTTCTGCCGAAGTAGAAAAACTCTCTCAGGCTTTTCTGCGCCCAAACCTAAACACTCTGGGGCCGCCAGCCAGACAACAGGAAGTCACAAACTGCGGGCCGCCAGCTTTGCAAAGCTTCCATCCATGTTGATCAGCTCGTGATAGGTGCCTGATTCCAGGATCCGGCCGTTTGCCATCACGAAGATCTTGTCCGAGTTCTGAATCGTGGAGAGGCGATGAGCCACGGTGATCGTGGTCTTGCCGACCCTGGCCTCCTGCATCGCTTGTTGCACCAGGCGCTCGGAAGTGGAGTCCAGAGCTGACGTCGCCTCATCAAGAAGCAAAAACTGCGGTCGACGAAGGAGGGCCCGAGCGATTGCGCAGCGTTGCTTCTGCCCACCTGACAGCTTCTCTCCCCGAAGGCCGACTCGGTCGCTCCACTTCACAGACCCTGCGAAGGCATAGTCCATGTTGGCCACCCTGGCTGCATCCTTCACTTGCGCATCTGTGGCCTCAGGATAGCCATACTTTACATTCTCTTCCAGGGACACGTCGAAGAGAACCGGCTCCTGCCCTACCATCCCGATCTGCTTCCGCCAGAAAGCAACATTCAGGTCGCACAAGTTCTGGCCACCCACCTGGATCGAGCCGGTCTGAGGGTCGTAGAAACGCTGCAGAAGCTGAATCACGGTAGACTTGCCACTGCCCGAGAAGCCAACGAAAGCCACTGCCTGACCTTTCTCGATGGTGAAGCTGAGCTTCTTGAGCACGCGCACCTCGGGGCGGTGGGGATACCAGAAGTACACCTCTTTGAATTCGATATTACCATCTCCGATGCTCTCGATCTTTCCCGTCGGCTGTGTGGCATCAATCTTGGAAACTTGGTCAATCAGTCGGAAGACCTCCGAGGCGGCGTGGTAACCAGATGCTGAGTCTGGGATGAACTGCACGATGGTACTCACGGACATGACACCGAACATGACGCAGAAGAGGGTCAGCAGCACCTCATGCGCATTGAAGCTCCAGTACTGAATGCAGGCAGCACTCATGCCAAAGCCTGCAAGGTAGATGCACTGGATCATGCACATGTTCAAACCCAGAGACAGACCCAGCTTCCAGGATCTCCCTGTGTTCACCTCGGTTAGGATGAGCAACAACTCATCCAAAACTTCCATGGTGTATTCCTCTGCCCCGAGTGCCTTCACGGTGCGAATGGCCGTAGCTGCCTCGGCCGTCTGCTTGCCTGCCTTGGAGTATGTCTCCTCTGCATTCAGATCCACGGCGGTGGCAAAAGCAGCGACCACCAGACCAAGGAATCCACAAATGGGCATCAAACCTAGGAGGATCAGCGCCAAGACCCAAGATCCTGCAAAGCTCACGCCCACGCTGATAAGGCAGGTGAAGATGGCACTCGTCGAGTTTCCAAGCTGGATGCCCATCATCTGCCCTACGCGGTTCATGTGCCTCTCCAATGACACCAGGATGCTTCCTGTCTGGTTCTCAGGAGCATCGAAGAAGGCCATATCCATGCGGATGGTCGACACGAAGGCCATCTTGCGCAGAAGCATACAGAGGCACTCCTGCAAGTAGGAAAAGAGCGAATTCTGGCATAGCACTGCCAGACCTGAAGCCAAGCCGACGGAGATGAGGCCAAGGACAGCGCGGTCCAAATGAGGATACATTGCTTCAACACCCTCGACTTTGCTGTTGAAGAGCGAGAGGATGCCTGCATTGAAGAAAATCGCCTCGAGAGGCATCGTAGCGGCGTCTAGGACAATGATCACGACGACCATCGGCCACACCCACCAGTAGAGCCTCATGATGCCAACGAGTCGGCACCAAACACGAGGTGTCACATGCCCACCTTCCGCACCAAAGGCAGTCCCATAGAAGCTCATCGCTGTGCCACTGCGGCGCAGGGCCATGGACTTCTGCATGCTCATGATGCTCTTCATGCTTATCTTCCGTGTCTCACTCCGCGTCGGTGGCGCCATCGTCGGGGTCTCCTCCTGGTCGTCGGGGTCTTCATTGGCTTGCTGTAACTTGGCCATGCTGTAGTATTCGCCACAGGGCCTCTCAATAAGATCTTCATGTGTTCCCTGCTCACAGCAGCGGCCATTCTTGAGTACGTAAATCACATCCGAGCCCTTGATGGTGGTAAGCCTGTGGGCAATGGAGATGGTCGTGATGGGGCCTATGACTGTGTTCAAGGAGTCAAGAGTCGCCTGCACCAAGCGTTCGGACTCGTTGTCCAAGGCGGAAGTAGCTTCGTCCAGCAGGAGGATCTGCGGACGTTTGGCCAGGGCCCTTGCAATCGCAACACGTTGCCTTTGGCCTCCGGACAACAGCCCACCTCCTGCACCCACGAAGGTGTCGAACTCCTCTGGAAGGCTCATGAGGTCGTCGTAGATTTGAGCAGCTTTCGCCGCCTCATGGACCTGCTCGTCACTGATGGAGTCGTCCCCAGCCTTCAGGTTGTTCATGGCCGAAGTGGCGAAAAGGACAGGCTCTTGGCCGACGTAACCGATGAGCTTCCGCCAAGCCTTGGCTGGCACTTGACTCAAATTGATTCCATTCACGAGAATTTCGCCGGCGCAGGGGTCGTAGAAGCGCTCCAGGAGCTGGATAGTGGTGCTCTTGCCACATCCACTCTCTCCAACGAAAGCGATCTTCTGGCCTCTCTCGACTCTGAAGTTGAAGTTGCTGAGGACCCACCGTTCCTTCCGGGTCGGGTACCTGAAGCTCACGTTTCTGAACTCGAGGGTCTCCACGGTACTCAGAGCTTCGGGGAGTGCGTCCTTGCTGTACAGCGGGCGCTCGATGGCGCGCGCCTCTGCCGCTGACATCACCTCCCTCATCGAAATGGCGGAGGCATAAGCTTTCGCCATTGCCGGGGCAAAGCCACTGAAAGAACTGAGCCCCGAAACACCGACCATCATAGCGATCATGACAGTGACGACATGGCTCGGTTCAAAATCCACGTTCTCCGCTGAGAGGAGGATGTGGCCGCCGAACCACAGTGCCAGCCCGTAGAGGCAGGAATAGAAGAAGTTGAGGCCGCCCCAGGCGGCACCGATTTTCACTCCCGAACGAATTCCCCCCATCTTCGCCGACAAGAGCTCTTTCTCGAAACGTGCAGACTCGGCGTTTTCTGCACCGAAGGCAGCAACGGTTCGGATAGCCATCAGCGACTCCTCCGCAACGGAGGAGGCTCGAGCGAAGTTTGCTTGCTGGTCGAAAACTCCCTGCTCGATCTCTCTGCCCATGCGATGACCCAGGGTTGCCAAGATTGGAATTGTGGCACAAACGACCAAAGCAAGCTGCCATCCTGTGACGAATGCGAGAGACAAGCCGGCGATGAATTGGCCGACGCTCGAGATCAGGTAGCCGAGAGCCGTGGACATGAACATGTAAACGTTCGCAACGTCAGCCTCCAGTCTGGAAGCTGTCCCCGCCGGCTCGTTCTCGTCATACCAGCTCACATCCAAGCAAAACAAGACCTCAAGGAATCCCCGATGCCAACGGTAGGCCTGTTGTGCTGCGGCCCAGGCTAGGCAGCTCTGCCAGCAGAAGTTCAAGAGAAACTGGGCGGCCGCAAGGCCAGCAATCTTCATGAGCGTAGGAGCCATCAGGTCCAGCATGTGTTCCTTGTCCGAGCCGGCGACGGTCAAAGTGGAGATGCTGTCTGCTGTGAACATGGCAATTGCAGGGGTTACGACTCCCTGGGCTAGAGCGAAGAAGGCCCCAAAGCCCAAAACCATCTTCTCCCAGCACTTCAAGTTTGTGATAATGCCGGCACTCTTTTGACATTTTGGCTTTCCAACTGTGAGGTCATCCCCTTCGACCTTACCTGTCTCAACATCCTCTGCCTTAGGCCGCCCCAAAAGGACAGGCAGCACCTCGGCGGAGGCAAACTCTTTCATCACCGGAGCACTCTCAGCCATGGCGTACGGCGTAGCTTTCTTAAAATCTCTATCGTTTTTGAAGGCTGCACCAAGTTCGCACTGAGTCCTAGCAGATTCAACAGTTCTGGCACCTCCATCCCTGCATATGGGCGATGAAGCAGTTCAAGGAGCTAGCTGCTTGAGGAAAGCTGCTCCGTGGCTGCAAGAGCACAGACGACATGCAGGCTCGATGCCCCGGGGATCGACAAGGAGAAGGCTTGGTTGCATCTATGCAAAACCGCACAAGGCGTCCTGGTGGTGGCATCTGACAGGAATTTTCCGACATGCAGCTTGCGGCCGGCATTCCTTGTCACTTGGCAAATCTGCCGCTACGGTTGCGTGCATTCAGACCTTGTCCAGTACAGCTGGCAGAAAGCAATGCTCAGGTTCCACTACTTGGTTGAAGGGGTGCGAAGAAAATGACCATGTCAGGTGTTTCACAATCATTAATTGTCAATGTTTACACAAGGATGCTTTCTCAGACGAACTGCAAGGTCACAGCTATGACTCCTTCATGAAGCAGAGGGCTCTGAACAACAGACTGCTCCAAAAAAAAGCCCGTGCATGCCTGTCAGACAGGCTCTATGTGAAAACGCACGTGCTCTGTAGCTGGCTCATGTTGAACCCACTGGCACGATTCAGAAGAGGGCAAAGCAAAGCAAACCCATCTTATCAGCACAATGTTTGACTGGAGGCCTAAAATGTGTCTCCGTGTTGCTTCCTCAGATATCAATGAAAGCACCTCACTCCATGGGGTGAAACTCAAACCAGGCCAGGCAACCAACGACGGCGGGCTCGCCCTTGTTACCGCACTGAGGTTGGAGAGTGCAACACGAGTCATGGCCAATCGAGATGGCACTAGCGGTGGCAGCGCAGAAAATACATTCCCGCGATTGCGGCACACTCGCACCTCTCCGTGGCATTGTCACTACCATGACTTTCACTCCTCCGCTAACATCAGTCTCACTGCAAGAATCTGCAAGACAAGTACCACCAGTACCACAAACCATCAGCACCCTAAGCTCCAGCAAGCGTATCAGAGTACGGCAAGGGGAATGCTCAACTGAATCCAGACAGCTGAGAAGAAAAACAAATTCAGCCGGCAGATGACATCAGGTTCAGATGAAGTTTCAGTTGGGCCGGCTCTTCGAAGCCGTCGCCGGATGCCGAAGGCAGGCGCTGGACGAAGGGACGGATCTGGCGCAATCCAGACACGCAGCCTGTCGTGTCCAAAACGACACTAAGATGATGCCATACTCTGTCCAATCGACAAGGGAAGACAGCCGCATCACGCCGGACTGCGTGCCAGAAGCAGTACGTATGTCCCTCCGCAGCAGCTAGACTACGTCCTTCCCATGCCGAAGCAGCTTCCATGAAAGTTCCGAGAGTCTAGGCTCGAAACTGGAAGCTCTTCAAGAGTGCACTGAAAAGTTTGATTGCCAGAAGCTGATGGACTTGCATAAACCACGCACCTTGGAAGAATTTTAGAGCATAGAGAAACATGCCTGACTCCCGCAACGGGTTCAGCAATTCCGCCAAGGCTGCAAAGGTTTATGAACAGCCACACAACACCAGCATCAGCAGGGTTTCAGGTTGAGGGCTACAGGTCTCGCAGCATAAAGCACAACCTGAATGCGGAGTCTCACATCGCTGGTCATTCTGTGGAAAGTCCAAAGACTGCACACTCCGGCGGGGGGTGCTCTGTACAGTCCACCGGGGAATGTGCCAAGGCTGCACCCCCAGAAGAGAGACCAACAAAACCCTGGCTTCCCAAGAGTTTGAGGAGCTGAAACTGATGAGTGACCCTGGTAAACCAAAGGCCCAGGTGGGCACAGAAATCTGTATAGGATGAGGCTCCACCTGACCGTCTGTTTTCGTAGCTCACTTTTTTTAGGCTGCTTTTCACTGGTCTCAAGGTTCTTCGTCTTTCTGGAGTCTGGAGAGAAGGGCTTTCTGCAGGTTTGGGAAGTCTCGCACCTCCAACGGTTCTGAATCTGATATGTTCACGCCTCAAGCTGCTTGTGACAGCTTGTGCTTATACTCAGCACTAGAGCTACAAGAGTATCTCCCTTCAAGGAGGCATCAGTCCGGCGATGGTTTCAGGAAGGATGCTCTCGGACACAAAAACTATCGAAGGGTCGGCCCAGAAAGGGCCATCCATCGTGCATTGCGCTCCACGGGCACCAGGAACCTGCAAAGCCGCGCATCGGCACTTTCATGTTTAGGTGCATGTCTGCCAAGTGAGGAGTCAGTTAGAGTGGCGAGGTCTTCTCGTGGGGGAGGCGTCCTAGCCACAAGAGCTTGTGATTATCCTTTCCATGCACGCACTATGTAGAGCTTCGTATGTAGCGTATGAAATCTGCGACCCTCAGCAAACCTAAAGCACTCTAGCCATGCGTGTCAATGCGGTGAAAGCCAAGAAGGCAAACAAAACTTCTACCTGCCGCCCAGATGCACCTTCGCTCGTCTGGCGAACGGAAGTCAGGTCTCGACCTCTCGACATCTTAGTCTTAGCGCATCAGGTGGCTGTTCTCGCAGGGCGCATCATTCGATCTTAAGAACAAGTGCTCTTGCTCCGAGAATAAGGGCACATCAACGAGCCAAGGGGCCCTGGATAAAGTGCAAAGTTTCTGCATGCCCCGGACGGACTGTATAATGAATCCTCAACAATGAACATTAAAAGTGTATTTCTCAAACGCTTTTTTGACTTTAGCTCCCACATGAATGTTGCGACCACGTGTGCGACTCGAAGACTACCATGAATCTCATAAAACCCCACTGTAAGAAGCTCTGAAAATGCGACGTAGGCGGATTCTGCTTGAAGTTCACTTGGCATGTTTTCTGGCTTAGCTTGTGTTGTCTACCTATTCCTACCATGACTGGTGTTACCAGTGAAAAATGCAGCATTGCAGGCCCGGAGGAACGTTTCTGAGCCGAGGCTGTGACTGCGACTGCCCGCACCGCGCAACCTTCAACAGGCAAGAGCTGAGAGATTTCCAGGAACGTTATATGCAAGTATCACTCACAACGTACCATCCCCTGCGGTTTCTCGCGACAACCACCACCAACACCATTGTCATCACTACCATCGTACTCATCATCGTCGTCATTATCATCATCATCATCATCATCATGATCATCAAGACCCTCGTGTCTATCTTGGTCGAGCTTTTGGGATTGCGGATTTGGACCTTCAGATGAAACTTGCAGCTTGGATATCGAGCCAAACACTCACAAGTACTCGTCCTCGCCTGAAAGCCCTTACGTACCTATCCAGAACAGATATTAGCAATGCTTTTGAAGGCTCGTCGCAAGTTGTCGCTGTTGCTATTGCACAGAAGCGTGCCGTGCAACCCGCGATCTCCTTTGAGTATTGAAGCCTTTGGGGCCATGGAGCTTTGCGCACTTTTTCGGGGTGGTTTTTCCTATACTTTGCATGTTGTGGGTGCATATCATGAAGCTGCATTTGCTCTTAGGGCTTAAGGCTGCAGGAAACCCATCGGCCTTCTGGCTCTGGACGCCGTCGGGAGGCCTCTGCAAATCTCATCTACCGACTACCGATGCGAGAAGTATTAACATGTTACCTTCGCGATGTAGAGTCGTGCTTCCTGGCTCACTTCTTCCGCCGGGACACGGGTTAGGGATGGGATCCGCAGCCTGGTTTCCAGATCGAAATGGGGCATTGGGAGTTGCACTGCTCAAACAGCAGCGAGCAGTACATCTGTTGGGAGTCGAGATGACAACCCGTGCCTTGGGATTGATCCCGACCTGTGGAAGAGGCAAGGAACGTGCCTCGGTGGAGAAACTCAGCAAGTGCAAGTGCAGTACCATAGCAGTATGCAGCTGCTGCTCACGCTACTGCTCCTCCTCCTCCTCCTCCTACTCCTCCTACTCCTGCTTTGCTTCTGCGCCCCCGCTACTGCTGCCACTACTGCGACTACTCCTACGCGTAAACAGTATTAGGAACCTGCAAACACTGCAAATTCAGAAATAGTTTGCTTGCATTTGTGTGTTTGGTATGTTTCCTGATTGGTTTTGGTTGCTACATGTTTGGCTGTTTTTTGTTGTGTTGTTTTCTTTGTGGTTTTTTTGTGTGTTGGTTTACGGTGTTTTCTAGGAAAACACAAGAAACGACACATGGACACTAACAAACAACGAGAGTTCAGAGGTGGGCGCTTTTTGCTTTCCATGCGTTTAGTTGTTTTGTTCTGTTGTTGTTTCGCTCCTGGACTCCTGGCCTGATTTGCGTATTCATGATTCATGTGCTGTTTACTTCTTTTGCTTGTGAGTTTTATCTTTTCACGTATCTCGACAGTTGTATGACCTGTTCTCTGACTCCTGCTTACTCCTACTCCTGCTCCTACTCCTACGGCTACTACTACTACTCCTCCTACTACTCCTACTAGTCCTACTTCTGCGACTGCGACTGCTACGTCTACTACGACTGGTATGCCTACACCGACTACAGCGACTACTACGACTACAACGACCACTCGAACGCTACGACTGCTACGACCAGCACCAGGAGTACGACAACTACTACTACGACTCGTACGACTAGTACGACTACTACGACTACTACTACTACTACTGCTACTACTACTGCGTGGGGATTTGATCTTGATGTTGCCCTTGTTGCTCACCCCACAGAGCTATATTGAATAATGGCGTGGTTGCCCTCTACGAACTCAGTCACTCTCTCTTTCCCCTTCTCTCACACAAGCCACGCTTCCCTTGCAGGCAGATCCAGAGCTTGCTTGTTTTGCACTCTCGCGGCCAGCGATGGATCGTCTGTGCACGGGATGGCTCTGTCCCTCGGAAGGTCACAGAAGACGAATAGCCTTTTAGCTATGGGCAATGCTTTCTAGAGCATGTGCTCACACTTGAGCCTTGAGCCAAAGTTGCGTGGGCGGAAAGCATACAGGAAGGTTTGGCATTGCGGCGTGCGTAGCACTTCCACAAGCCTCAACCTAGAGACGAAGGACGCGTAGCGTGCCTTCTCTCTTGTCCTATACATGACCTTGCTCACAGCTCTTATCGTGACACCGTAGAATTTGACTAGGCATCGCAGTCCGTTCGCACCCCCCATGAGTTGCGTCTCCGACGCTGCTCACCCGGAAGATGGCGCGATAGGAACACTATGGATTAGTCCGCCGCAACTTTGAAATATGGACTCAGAGCCTTGCATCCCAATTAGAAACTGTGTGACACTCAACTACGTCGGTAACGATCCCCTGAAATGACAAACGAATCAGGCGTCACCAAAGAAAGAGGCATTCGCAATGAGGTTCATGAGCGAAGCACAGAGGTCACGTTGATAAAGGAAAAGCCGATCATACATTGTCCCGATACCACTGACGGGTAGCCGCGGGATCAGAGGGAGGATCACGTTCCCAGGGCCTGAGATTTTGTTCTGGGTATGGAGATCTGCCCTTTCCCTTGGCTTTCCCTTTGTTTCTCTTGCCCTCAATGAAGTCGTGGTATGAATTGGAATTCCATCCGCCATGTTGTCCACCTCCTTTCGGGCGAGATTTGGGAGCAGCGGTAGATGCGGAAGCACTCGAGGTTTCTTCCAGGTGTGTCCATGATGAATGTCTGTCCGCGCGGAAGATACTCATCGGCTGAGATGTGATGCAATGCTTCAGGACGGCGCGCATTCGGATGCATCTGTCGTTCAACCCTGCTGGCGCGCAGTCTGTCCAAGAGGTGGGACGGCATCTGTACGTTGTGATCCACGAGCAATCCGATGGTCTGTGTGGAATGATCCGTGTGCATCAGTAGGATCCCGACTGGGTCGATGTACAGAAAGTCCACTGGTCCAGTTGGCGTAGGTCGAAGAACAGAAAATTGTGAGTGTCCTGTTACCATGGGAATAACTTCGCAGAGGACGTTCAAGCAGCAGAAGTGCATCACCTTCACCTCGCTCTCGTCCTTCAGATAAGTGCTGGGATTGAAGTTCTCCCTGCCAATTCCCATCATGCTGGCTCCTCGGACCAACATCGAGATCAGCTGGTGCGTTCGGAAGCGTTTGAGGGTGTACGTCCCGTTGGGATCATACGACTTGACATTGTCTGGTTCTTTGGCAAAGCGGATGATTTCTTCATCAGTCACCTCTCTGCTTACTCCGGTGCTGGGGTCCACTCCTGCCAACACACCCCACTTTCCAAGCACATCATAGCGTTGACCATTGGCAAAACTTTCCTTGAGTTGAAACAATGGCACTGTTGCCCACTTCGCAAAACCTGACCACGACTTGTAGATGCATCGGCAAACCACGTACGCCATGTAGGAGAGGGCGGCCATGTTTGCATCGATGCAATGCGCATTTCGCTTGTTGTGGTAGTAGTGCGGTTGCATTGCTGTTCGGGCGATCTGCAGTTCAGGGTCGATGTTCAAGGATTGACCTGCGACCCAGACAGGACGACGTTCAAGTGCCACAGCTTCAGGTACCTCGTCGTCAAAGTCTGCCGCCTGATCGGTGTCCATTTCCTCGTCGGGCTCCTGCTCTGCATCTTCTTCCGCAATGATGGAAGGTTCGGGAATGCCTTCAGGTTCTGCCACAGTCTCAACCTCCATGGCTTCTTGTTCTTCAGCAGTTGTCTCAGGTACCGCTGCGGCAGCAGCCTCCATTGTCTGAGCAATGAATTCACTTGGGATCTCCGTAGGAGTCTCCCGTTGTGAGGTGCCTTGATGGTAACCACATGAAATGAATTGCGACCAGCACGATGTGCAGCGAGAGAAGCATGCCGGTACAATGTTGTAGCACGCTGGGCACACCCTCATCCTTCTGCCATCTCCTTCTCTTCGTAGGTCTTCGGGTCTCCAGTTCTTGATGATGAACTTAATGGCTTTGTCCATGTAGTGATGGCGCACGGTGTTCTCCCTGTGGGATTCGAGCACGGTAGTAAGGTCACGCATGATCTGTTCCTTACTAGCATCGTGAGGACCTGAGGGCATGTCACAGAGAAGCTCCATGATCTTTGCCGGCGTTCGGTACCTTTCGAATTCAGGGAGCAATGGAGATCCATTGTAGTCCAGCACCATTTCTTTCTCCAAACGTTCATCGTAGATCTTTTCGATCAGTGCGAAAGAATGTGTATCTCGAGGATTCGGCACGCAAAACCATACCTCCTTGACGAACGCGAACGAAATCGTGCGCCCAACAATGATGACACCACTGTCGGTGATACGTCCACCTTCTCGGGCAAGATCCGTTGAGGCCACGTGCAGGACGACAAGCGGCATGTGCTTGGCTTCCGGTCCATGCACCCGAGTTTTCGTCGTAGCATTCCTTGTGTCAAACGGCGCAAATACCCCCCAGTAGCTGTGGAGCCGACCTCCTCTGTCATCCCTGTTTTGGCGGCGCTGGTCGAAGTCCCCGTCGGGGTCCTCCGAACCTGGCATGACGCCTTGCAGAACAATGGAATCAAGATTGCGGCATGCCGTGGCGTGGAATGCTCCTCCAAGACGCCCCAAAAGGGTCATCGACGGAGATATTGCGAACCTATCCTTGTCCAACTGAAGCAAGTTGTTCTGGGCATCGGAGTGCGTAGAGTGACCACTGGTAGCCCGAACTGCCCATGGTTTGACCCAGCCATTGCATTGCGTCAAGTATTGCTGATTGGGTCGGCAATGGTCGTTGTTCTGGATCTCGGTGATTTGATCCTGCATAGACACCAGTCTGTTCGATTCTGCTGGTCCAAGAGGTCCACCGCCAGGGTCCTTCACTCTCACACCCAGGAACTGGAGCCGAATTTTGGCTTTGTACCGTTTCGTGGCCGCCAGCATGTTTCCCTGAAACAATAGCTGCAATCTCTCGTTGTACACTCTCTTCCGATGTTCGTTGTCGCGTTGAAGAGCTCCTTCGGTTATGCGCCTGCTGCCGTGGGTCCAAAGCTCTTCTTGTCTGACCAGGTCTTCGATCAACACCCATCCTCCTTCATCACATCGAAGTACGCTCATGAATGCAACTTGGCAGCGCCCATCCAGCCATTCTGACCCTGACCGTCTTGCGATCCTGTGGCGCAAATCGGACTGAATGCATGACAGAGCCCAGTCGGCGTTCCTTCTGCGATGGGATGGAATGTTGCGAATCACGACTTCATCCACGATGTCCCATCTGGAATTGATGAAGCGTGCACCTTTTGTCGGGATCAGGTCAAGAATTCCACATCTGATCGGCCTTCCGCCTCCAATGGATTCATAGCCTTGGTTGGCCCATTGCCGTGTGCGCTGATCAAACTCGTAACTTGCACGATCTCCTCGTTGAGGTAGTCGGCGGTCACGATGATCTGATAGCTGTTCAATGAGATCCACAACGCGCTGGCTGTTTTCTGGCCCCATCTCCTGCAGCGGTGTGCCGCAAGCGTCATGTAGACCTCGACGGTTCTCCACGTCGGCACATAAGTTGTGAGGATTCTCCTAGCGGATCAGGACGATGTCACTCCGAACGGCTTCGCCTCCACGTCGTGGTCGGGCTTTGGCCTTGGGTCGTCGGTCCGATGATGCTACGCTCACATGGTCGGTGGAGTCAACGTCCATACTCTCAGCTTGTCGTGCATGTGGTCGACGAGGAAAGCGAAGAAGACTGTCCTTAATGATCTGAAGACCACGTTGGACCAAATCTCGTGTAGCAACATTTTCAGTGCAATTGGACAAGTGGTGTTCATCACTGCCACACGCGATGCAAAAGGTGAAATCGTGAATTCCCACCGTAGATTCACCTTGGGAAAGCACTTCCACATAGTCGCGAAGCTGTGCCACAAGCCCTTCACGGATCATTTGGCGCGGAT